GAGCGTGTTTCGTAGGTTGGAAAATGTAAGCTACTATGTGGGCAGGTGTTTTCTTTGGGAGCCCTCATGCCTCAGGAGACCAAGCCAGATGTGGAGAAGCCTGGGGAGGTCCACACTTCCCTTCACCAGGCAAGATCTCATTGGAGAATGAGCGTGTTTCGTAGGTTGGAAAATGTAAGCTACTATGTGGGCAGGTGTTTTTTTGGGGAGCCCTCATGCCTCAGGAGACCAAGCCAGATGTGGAGAAGCCTGGGGAGGTCCACACTTCCCTTCACGAGGCAAGATCTCATTGGAGAATGAGCGTGCTTCGTAGGTTGGAAAATGTAAGCTACTATGTGGGCAGGTGTTTTTTTTTCGGAGCCCTCATGCCTCAGGAGACCAAGCCAGATGTGGAGAAGCCTGGGGAGGTCCACACTTCCCTTCACCAGGCAAGATCTCATTGGAGAATGAGCGTGTTTCGTAGGTTGGAAAATGTAAGCTACCATGTGGACACGTCCTTTTTTTAGGAGAGCCCTCATGCCTCAGGAGACCAAGCCAGATGTGTTGGAGCAAGTGGTGGAGGAGCCTGAGAAGGCCCACAGTTCCCTTCAGCTAGTGATATCAGATGAGGGCTTTTTTGCTTTATTTGTTTATGGTATGTCTATATATAATATATACATATATATATATGTTTCAGTGTCCTGATCAACTTGTAGAGCCGGCAGGTGACTTCGACCAGAGAAGATCCCGATGAAATCTTCGGTAGAAACCTATGGGAGAAAATCCAGGAGAGGTACGACAACGATGAGGTTTCTGAATACGAGGATTCTGATGTTCTTTAGCGCGAGGAATTACTGTATGTTTTCTATTCCAGGATGTGTTATGATGTGTTGACAAAAGTGCAACAACACTATCCCGTGCTCTTGTTTATCCATTAGGTTGGCGACGTTGGAAGACTTGCCGTGGTGCCAATAGAAGACGTTGCTGCCGCTGCGGGACCACCAACAGAAGAGACTGTCCAGGCCTGCCAACTGAGCCTTTCAAACAACATCAAACAACTTGTTCTGGTATGTTGTAGAATGTTATAAATGTTATGAAAACAATTTACCAACTGGATGTGTTTGGTATGTATCAGTGACTCTGCAGGATGCCACAAAGAGCGACAGTGATGTGGAGATCATTTCGGCTGTCATCGTAACCAAGCCGGCCAAGCACATCAGAGTGAAAGCTGAGCCTGGAAACCCATTGCCAGCCCCACCAGTGAACACCAAGGACCAGGAAGAGAATTCCAATGATTGTGACGTGGGTTTGATGGAGACTATAGAGATCTATTTGCTGCAGCCATACCCGCCAATTGCAATAGAACCATCAAATCAATGCCACATTGGTCATCTGTTACATGGACTTGTGGCATTGTGTCGGAAGCATGCACCGGCCCCATGGGTGAACCATGTTTGCGTCATTGATACCACCAACAAGTCACTTGAGCTATCCAAAGTGCAAAAGAAGGCTACCCTTCATTTGGGGATTGTTGCCTCCAAGTCACACTGGAGCCTGGCAGCGATTGATTTGGCAGGTGGCAAATCTTGTGTGTACGATGGACAGTCCAACCCTGTCATCCTCGAGAGAGCGAAGAAGTGGGTTGACTCCTATACCAACAACATTTCTTTTGAATCAGCACAAGTACCCAAGCAGATGGATGATGTGTCTTGTGGTCACAGAGTCCTCCTTGCAGCCGACCATGTTCTTCGCAGCATGTTGCTTGAACACCATGGCCTTCCAGTTCGTCTTCCAGAAGACTTTGCCAGTGCCAGCATGATGGAGTCTTTGAAAACACTGGTGATTGTGCCGGAAGTCTCAAAGGTGAAGCATGATCCCTCACTACGAGAGAGATCCCCGAGGCGAGCTACGCCTAATTCCCATGCCAGAATAAAGGAAGAACCTCAGAGCAAGAGGGCAAGAATCTCTCAAAGTTCAGAGGTGCA